ATGTTATATGTTAAGTCATCTAGTGGGCAGGGCTTCATTTTGATCCTAGTTGATAGAAGACAGATGTCTGGCATCTGGATCTATGACCAAGTATGGTCACTGTGTTATAGCAGCTGGCAGTCATGCCTGGCTCAGTCTCTGTGGAGGAACAATGACCACTAACAGTTGTGCATCCAGATTTGGGGGGACTGGGGAGTAGTATGAAGTATTTCACCTAAATTACATGGAAGGAAGGGGTTTGAGTTCGTCTTTTAATTTTTGGTACCAATGATCATAAAGCAGCTGTAAATTTGTTATATTCCACACTTATGAAATTTTAGCATGGAATATTACCTCTGTAACTAATAATCTGTAGAGCTGTCATGATTTATATTACTAAACTGGCCACGTATTCTGTTCATACCTAAACTACAGCTATCAGCCAAACAGGGCTGAAGGCTCTTAAAATGATCAACTTCACCCCCTTCAGAAGTCTCCATTGATTTAATGAATAGACCAAGTCCGTAGAGAAGAACAGCTTTGGATTGTTTATAGCCAAAGCTCTGAGAATTCCCTCTACCCACCCAATCCTGTTCCAGCTTCTCCACTATCATTTGTGACTGTTTCCAAGTTTAATTCTCTTGTTTAACACTTTTCTGGACTCCCCATTCACTTCACAGTAAAATTCAGCCTTGCTTCCAGGATCCAAACCCTGTTGAGGAGTTTTTATGGAGGTTTCACTACATGGGCATGATTGATTAAATTTTTGGCCACTGGTTACTGACCTCAACCTCTAGGTCCTCCTCTCCCTGGAGGTTTGGTGATGGGGGTAGGGTATGAGACTGAAAAGTCCAACCCTCAACCTTCTAATCATGCCTTGGTCTTTTTTGGCAACCTGCCCTATCCTGAAGCTACCTTCAGGGATTCCCAGCACACTAGTCATCTCATTAGCGTACAAAAGACACTCTTATTTAAAATTATATATATATTTTTTATTGATTTCAGAGAGGAAGGAAGAGGGAGAGATAGAAACATCAATGATGAGAGAATATCATTGATTGGCTGCCTCCTGCACTCCCCCTACTGGGGATTGAGCCCGCAACCCGAGCATGTGCTCTTGACTGGAATCAAACTTGGGACCCTCCAGTGTGCAGTCCAATGCTCTATCCACTGAGCCAAACCAGCTAGGGCCAAAAGACACTCAAACAGTCAAGGGTTTTAGGAGCTGTGGGCTAGAAACCTGGGACAAAGAGCAAATATGTATTCCCCCTCAAACCACACAACTCTAATGTTGAAAAGTGACCTTCAATATGTATATGTCTTTGTATCATATACTAGGGGCCCAGTGCACGAATTCATGCACCTTGAAAGGAACTGTGGGTGGCCAGGCTGCAGCGGGCACAGGGGCAGGTCTCGGCCCATCCTCTGCACCCCGCCTGGCCCCTTCTGCCTCAGCCCCCGGTCCCCTGTCTATCAGCAACCACTCTCCCACCGCAGCTGCTCCCATGCGCTGACGTGCTGACAGCGTCGGCCCTGCTTGCACCTGCTGACAGCATGGAGCAATTGGGACTGGCACTAGCAGCAGGTGTGAGCGGGGCTGGTGCTGTCAGCTGGTGCAAATGGTGGCTGCTGCCCCAATCGCCCCTCAGGAGCTGGGGGAGGTAGAGAAGCCCTCAGGGGCAATTGGGGCCAGCAGCCGCCGGCAGCGGGCACAGGTGGGGCCAGCGCTGGGAGTGCAGGGTGGGACCACAGGGCATGGGAGCAAAGAATTTTCAGTAACCACCAGAGGCTCGCCCCGATGACAGCAACCAGTGCTCCACCTTGGTCTGGCACTCCCCCTCACCTGCTCCACCATCCAGTCGCAGCCAATGCCCACCATGTTCCTCACTCTGCCATCTGCTACCCACACCCACCATGTTCCGCGCATGCCCCCTGATGGTCAGCGCACATCATAGCGACCGGTTGTTCCGCCGTTCGGTCTATTTGCATATTAGGGTTTTATATATATAGATGGTGTGTGCTTTTAAAAAAACCTTTCATTGTTACAAATAGCAAATATGGAAAACCGCATACCACTATACAGGTCAGAAGAGAAATCCTTGCTCACCACGCTAGCAACCTTCCATTTGTCAGGTGTCTCCTCCCAATTATAATCCCCTTTCTCCTCCCAAGAACAATTACTATCCTGATATTTATGATAATCACTTCTTTTTCAACTGTATTACCTAAACCTGCAACCCTGATTGTTTTACGTTTCCCTTTGCCTCTTACGTATCTTTTTATCTAAAGAATTCCCTTTCTCCTCTTCCTTTGTTGAAATAGCAAATTAACTGTCCTGTCACTTTCTATAACCTGAATTTTATTGATTGCATTCTGTGGAGTAATTTAACGTATTTTTCTGTCCTTTTTATTTTCTTTAAATTTATGGCTGCCTGGCCGGTGTGACTCAGTGGTTGAGTGTGAACCTAGGAACCAGGAGGTCACAGTTCAATTCCTGGTTAGGGCATATAAGTTTTGGGATCGATCCCCAGTAGGAGGCATGCAGGAGGCAGCTGATCAATGATTCTCTTTCATCATTTATGTTTCCCTCTCTCCTTCCCTTCCTCTCTCTGAAATTAATAAAAAACATATTTTTAAAAAATTGATGGCTGGATCACCTTGTAGTCAAAAATCAATGTATTTCTTTTTCCTATATATTTTTTATTTCAGAGAGGAAGGGAGAGGGAGAATCATTGATCAGCTGCCTCCTGCATGCCCCACACTGGGGATCAAGCCAGCAACCGGGTCATGTGCCCTGACCAGGAACCTGTGACCTATTGGTGCATGGGATGACATTCAACAAACTGAGCCATACTAGCAGGGCTATAGTAGTGTATTCTTAGCATCAGTAACACCTGTTACGGGGTCTTGATTCTACCTTGTCCTACTGGATAGGGGCACTGGTAGCAGCTCTCTTAGCCCAGTTCTGCATTATTATCCGGAGACAGCAAATATCCTGAGATAAAAGTGCACTCCTACAGCCCTTTAAACAAATTTCTAAGCACCAATTCCCTATTTTAAATCCCTATATTTAAAATAGCCAGATGCATTTCCTGCAACTGAATGCAAACTCATACATTAGTAAAGATATAAAAGCCTCCCAAATTAATCTGCACAATCAATCCCAATCAAAATTTTAAAATAATTGAACAAAACCTAAAATGTATATGGAATAAAGGTCTGCAAATATGTCACCCTAAAAAATTGGGGGGGAAAGGTACTCACCCTACCATATATTAAAAATATTGAGTTTACGTATTAATTTAATAATAGATGATGCTGGGTAATGGGCTTATGTAGGTTCATTATGTTATTTTTACTTTTGTGCACTTGAAGTTTTCCATAATAATGTAAAAAGAATATTCAGCCTGGTGTTCAAAAAGTTAGGATTGGAGTTATACATTCGGGGCTCATCAAAATAAAGACAACATTTAAAGCCATGGGATTGGATAAAACCGTTTAGGGAAAGTATAGATAGGAAAAAAAATGGGACTAAAATGTGAGCAACTCTAATATTTATAAGACAGTGAAAAAAGATAAAGTAGACTGAGAAGATGCCATGAGGCAAGAGGAAACCAGGAAGTGAGATGTTCTGGAAGCCTAGAAAAGAAAATGTTTCAAAAATGTGGAAGTGGTCATGTGTCAAATGCTACCTAAAGGCTAAAATGAGAACTGAATTTATCTTTTGGATTTGTCAAGATGGAGGTTTAGACAGTTTGGAGAAATTTTGCTATAAAAGGGAACAAAAGAAAAAATTAAGTAGAAGCTGGAGAAAAGAGGTTAAGAAGTATTCTGTTCCCTTTTCAGGTATCTGATACTAAGGCATATTAGTGTACTAGTAGAATGATCTAGTTGAAAGGGGGAAAACAGAGATACTGGTTAATAATGCGGATTTCCTAATCAAAGAAAACAGGATAATTTCAAGAGAAACATCAAAAGTGCTTTATTCAAAGTAATGTCCATTGCTAGCTACACATTTCCCCCATCTTTCAGGTAATTTGTGGATACCGTCCCAATAGAACAGGGGTCCTCAAACTACGGCCCGCGGGCCACATGCAAATACAAATATTGTATTTGTTCCCGTTTTGTTTTTTTACTTCAAAATAAGATATGTGCAGTGTGCATAGGAATTTGTTCATAGTTTTTTTTTAAACTATAGTCCGGCCCTCCAACGGTCTGAGGGACAGTGAACTGGCCCCCTGTTTAAAAAGTTTGAGGACCCCTGCAATAGAACTTTTGTTTTGAGGCAAACCATACAGAGACACAATTTTCCACTTTTTCGTATGTTTTGAAGTGCTGCTCAGAAAGTGCATGGGCCATCAATCGGAACAAGTGGTAATCTGAAGGAGCAAGGTCTAGTGCACTGATGGCGAACCTATGACACGCGTGTCAGAGGTGACACGCGAACTCATTTTTTTGGTTGATTTTTGTTAAATGGCATTTAAACATATAAAATAAATATCAAAAATATAAGTCTTTGTTTTACTATGGTTGCAAATATCAAAAAATGTCTATATGTGACATGGCACCAGGGTTAAGTTAGGGTTTTTCAAAATGCTGACACACCGAGCTCAAAAGGTTCGCCATCACTGGTCCAGTGAATATGGTGGGTGGGTTAAGTGTTGGTCTTCAAACTTTTTCCGTTGACCTGGACGTTCTTTGTCTTTCACATCGAAATCATCACTTTTAAAGCGTTTAAACCAGCGTTCACAAGTATGTTGAGATGGAGCATGTTCACCATAAGCTTCCCAAGGTGTACGATAACTTTCAGCAGCACTTTTCTTCAAAATAAAGTAATGAATTAAAAGTTCCCGCAAATGCTCTCATTTTGGCACGAAATTCGACATTTTTAAGTGTAAAAATATCTATGATGTTAACACCTTCAGAAAATTTGACATATGAAGTTTTGATGCTTGTTGTCAATACAACAAAATAGCATACATATAAAAATCGCATATATATCAACATATGTGTAACTCCATCTATTGAAAAAAATTCGCATTAACTGGTACACTTGTAGGAAGAAAACAATAATAGAAGAATCAAGGTGCTGAATGAAATAAAGTACAAGAAGAGGAAATATTTTTCCCATGTTTAACAAAACATGGAGTGAAGGCAATATTTATAGGTTCAGATACATACAGATGGATAGATTTGGTTGGGAGGCGGGGGAGATGAGGTTTGTGCCTATTTTCAAACCTTTAACTCTCTAAGCCTCAGTTCCCTCACCAGTAATATGGTGAGTACCTACTTCATAAGATTTCTGAGGCTCGAACTACCATACCAAAGAGCCAACTCTGAATATTAAATTGTTATTAATATTCCTAGTTCAAGTCTCCATGAATTCTACAAAATAATCAATCTCTCATTTTGCATTTAACAAAATACCACAACTAAAAACAACTATAATGAAAGTAACTTAATGGGATTGAGAGTGTCAGGGTAAGCTTTCCTGAGACATTTAAACTGAAAGCTAAATGAGGTGTAGACATTAACCTGACAAAGGTGGAGTGTTAGAAGAGTTTAAGGAGGTTTAGAAACAAGCAAACAGAAGTCCATTGTGGCTATCAATCACGAGCCACTATATGAAGCAACTGAAGGCAACTAAATCACATTTCTCCTCAGTGATTTCCAATACCTCTTGTGGGTCAAAATAGGGCTCTTAAGAAATTAACATAATATAAACATTTTGGCTCTTGCTGAAAGGCTCAAGTCCAACTGAGATGTGAAAACAATTTATGGACTTTGATTAAACCATAAACTATAAACCGAGCAGGGAAAAAGGTTTCTTGTTTCTTGCCTACTCTATTGACACAGGCTATGTTGAGTGCTGAGTAAACGATTCTTAGGCTTATTCAAGCTCAGCAGTAAAGTGTGGGGCCAGTTACCCCTATTTGCCATAAACACTGGGAGAGCACAGGAAATGGTAACATCTAAATTATTCCTTTTGCCATCCCTGAGCTAAGATAGCAACTTAGTAACTAATTTTTAGAGTTAAAATAAACCCTTTATATAAAAAATGTTTTACATATTTAATATTATATTTAACATTTATAATATATACTTGACATTTAATATTAGCAGAAGCATAATTCTGCTAAAAAATTAGCACTCACAAAATAAGCAGAAGCAGCTGAAGGAACCAGAAATCAAAGTATTTTCTTACTATTAGGGAACCTTTCTTGATTTTCAACATGGTGCAAGTCTTAAAAGTTACAAAAAAACGCCTGGCTGGTGTGGCTGTGGACCCATAAACCAAGAGGTCATGGGTTCCATTCCTGGTGGGGGCACATGCGCGGGTTTCGGGCTTGATCCCCAGTAGGGGGCGTGCGGGAGGCAGCCCATAGATGTTTCTCACCAACGTTTCTATTTCTCTATCGGCTCTCCCTCTCTCTCTCTCTCTCTCTCTCTCTCTCTCTCTCTCTCTCGTCTAAAAAAAATCAATTAAAACATTTTTTAAAAGTTACAATAGACAAAAGTGGAAACCAAAGGAAAATAAAAAATAACCTGGAGAGTTCCGGGAGAAGAGCTGGCGAAAGGCTGCCGCGTTCCTTCATTTCGATTCTTTCTCACTTCCTGAGACTCAACTGTGTGAAATATGAGTCGGCATGTAACACCAAGGCTCGATTGGAGTTCAATACTAGTAGAAGATGAAGAATCAGACCAGCCAGTTGGAGCCGTGGTTGACCAGCAGCCCAGGGATGAACAACCTCAACAAGAGGAGCCACCCACTGAGAGTCAGGATATTACACCTGATGAAGAGAAAGCAGATGCAGGAGCACCTGAGGTTCAAGGAACTGACCTTGAAGCTGATCTTCAAGAACTGGCGAAACCAATGACTGGGGCTGAGGGTGGAGATGATCCTGAAGTCATCGGGCATGCTTGTGCAAATCCAGAGCCCATTGAAATGCCAGAAACAGGGGAAGGAAAACCAGCCATTTAAAGGAAGATGATCTGAAGACACACAGATTATTCTTATGTTGGATACTTCACTGTTAAAGTTCTCTCAATAAAGTTTTACAGCATTAAAAAAAAAATAACCTGGAATATTTCCTGAAAACAGGTGTATAAAAGGTGAATCAGAATCTTGTGTTTATGTAAATATCCAGAAAACATCACATGACTAGGAAGCTTAGAAGGTAGTATAACATGAAGGGGGAAAAACTGCTCCTGGACAAAGGTAAAGTTTCAAAAAGGGGAGTATTTCTGTGTATTTTGTAACATTTCTATGGTACTGAACAATGTTGGCAGTCATTTTGACCTTTTTTGTTAGGACAGTGGCCCACATAGCTTCACAGTACAAACAAACACCCTTTTCTGTACTACACTTGACTCATATTCAATAACAGAAGCAACACTGTTTTTTGAGAAAATATCAACTGTTACAATTGTCTTTAAAATGTACTCACAGTTTAAATAGATTTAAATAAACTTTTCCAAAACGAAAAGCACCTACACGTTTTCTTGTTGCATCGATGGCATTTTCTCTAGCGAAGGTTTTGAATATGCCAAGGCTTTTCATAGCTAAGACCACAAAAAGGCTGGTCAGAGAGCATGTTTATTTAAATTTCCATTTCCAATACCGGTCGTTTTATTTTAAGGTTGTCTGAAAACTTGTCCTGGAGTTTAAAAAATTTCAACTCACAGCAGTTTAGCCTCTCCAAACACACGGGGCATAAGTTCTTGATTGACGTACTAGTTAAGACAGGTAAAGTGTGTTCAATTGGGGCTCGCTAGCTGTCAAGTCCCTGCCGACAGATACCGAGTAAACTTTCCGTCTGTTGGAGAGAAGTAAGGGAACCACTCACGCACCCGGTCCAAGGCGACGAGCCACCTGCTACGGGGCGGGCGCGCACATTCCCCGGTCCCATCCCAGCTCGACCGAGTGACTTCCTGAACATGCTCCTCAGATTTTTCGAGCCCTGGTCCTGCAGCAGACCAAACCACCTGGCCTCAGAAAGCAAAGTCAGCTTCATTGTCTTTGACAACACGTTTTGGTGAAGCCTCATTCGGGCCGACGGGTAATTTCTAAAACTTCCGGGGTCACCCAGCGAGCCGAGAGCGGCTACAGAGGTGGGCACACGCTGGGCGTCCCAGGCGTTTCCGCAAACCTGAGCTCAGGACTCCAGGGAGACAGGGCCGACTTACTCAGCTCCCACTGAACAAGAAACTGTTCTCTCTGACCCCCTGGATGGCTTCCCCCAGGCCTCCTCGCGCTGCCTCCAGCCCAGCCTTTGGCGTGGACGCCGCCCGGCCGGCGCCGGACGCGAAGGAAAGAACGTCCAAGCGCGTCGGCCACACACCCCGCGTCCCGGAGCCGCGCGTGCGCAGCACAGCCCAGAGCTCGGGCCAAGTCCGTTTCCTGACTTTTCAAGGAAGTGGCCTTGCGTCACTTCCTGCCTCCCTCTAGCTGCCATCTTGCGTCCCCGCGTGTGTGCGCTTATTCTCAGCTGGTCTGCCCTAGACCCCCTGAGCGTCAGCCCTAGTCCCCCGCGCGGCCCCGTTTCCTCTCCAACAAGGTACAAAAAGGCTGTGGACGCCGGCGTGGGAGGAGGACGGGATCGGGGGCGGGCAGTGCCCGGAAGGAGCGAGACAGGGAGGGACAGGGCTGAGGAGAGGAAGGCGATGCGACGGACAGGCGCACCCACTCAGGCTGACTCTCGGGGTCGAGGTCGAGCCAGGGGCGGCTGCCCTGGGGGCGAGGCGACGCCGTCTCTTCCTCCACCTCGCGGCGGAACCAGAGGACAGGAGCCTCAGGTACCGCGAGGCTTGCGGAGAGTGGCCGGTCGGGCAGGCCCTGGCTAGGCCGAGGCCGGGCCGGGGCCGGGGTGGGGGGGTGCTGGCCGGGCGTGGTTTAGACCCCGTTTCCCGGGTCTGTAAAAGGGGGGAGGGGGCCGTGGAGGGGGAGGAAGGTGGGTGCTCTTTCGGCCCTCTGGACACTGAAAATTGGGAGCCTCGGGGCGGATTTGGGACCCAGGCCTCGGCCCGTGTGGGACATTTGTTCTGCCAAGGGGGGGGGGGGGGAGGCGGGAAGTAACGAGCGTGGAATGCCAGGGCCAACTACACCTTTCCTCGCTGAGGGTTTCCTGTTTTTCTAGATGAAAGAGACTATCATGAACCAAGAGAAACTCGCCAAACTGCAGGCTCAAGTGCGCATTGGTGGGAAAGTAAGTCTTAATAGTGTATGTGTGTGTGTGTGTGTGTGTGTGTAAGGTTTAGGGTTTTTTTCTTTTGCATTTCTAATGTCGATGGCGTGTGACTTTGCCTACAGAGGGCATTTCGCGGAACTAGCAAACTGGGGGAGGGAGCGGCGGGGTAAAGGCGATGTACAATGTAATGTCTCCGGGAACCATGCCGCTTGTGTGCTCAGAGGGGAAAAAAGCGAGTGAGTCGACATGAAAAACTGCTTAGGCTGCAAACATTGTTTGTGTGTAAACATACTCTCGGTGTTACAGTGTTTTAAGGGGAGCAAAAGTGTTTCCTAACGTGCTCGGTAAGGAAATGCGCCGTTTCAGGTGCGGATCATTGTGGCCGTCCTTCCTCCGACTTGCTTGGGCTTCGGTTGCATGTAGACGTGCTAGCGAGTTGGTTTCTTTGGTGGATGAAGGCCTTTTCTGGAACGCTTCCTTGGCTCAGGCACTCCGGGGCGGTAGGAGTTGTACATTTCTAGGGCGTTTGAAGATCTCTCTTGTAAGTGCATTTTGGAGTTTAAGAGCAGTGGACTATGGATTCGAAAATATCGCGTAAAGTGGATGTCTTTCTGTTTTTACTTTGCGATTTCGCTAAAACTGAGGGAAGGGGAGTGTTTGGTGGGTTTTTTAATGATCCGTTTTTGGTTGATGCTGAGTCCGAGGGGATTCCTTTTTGAACTCTGTGTTTAGATGGTTCTCTAAGTAATTTACATAAATCAGAAGTCCACTCTAGACCGAGGTCTGCCTGGTTGTATTTTGCATTGTTAGCACATTCCTAGTATTTAACAAGGTGTGGTATAGCCTGTTGGAACAGAGCATGTCTTCACTTGGTAAAACTTGTATTCACTTGTATGGTTAAAACTTCTATACTACAGATTTATTATCTATTAGTATTTTGTTTTATTTATTTCCAACTTTGCCCATTTACCTTCAAGTAGAGTCTACTGTGAAATAGCCATATTTGCACTTAGACTTAAATAGTAAGATGTACATTGTTAGTTACTGGACTTTGCCAGCAGTGTAGGTATCTTCATCCTCCCCACCCCCCAAGCTAGTAGTATTCAAGATCCCACGCCTACCTGTTAACAACAGTAGGTATTTCTTGTTCTTTTTAGCAATCGTTGTAAGCTAGGTGTGGTGGAAAAACTCATTATAATCTTTGTGGGTCAGTGTTTGGATTCTCTTATGGTGTTTTTAACCTTAGTTAATGTGCCTTTTTTCTTTTTTGGTTACTTTGATCATTAGTCCCTTCAACTTGTGAGAGAAACCATTCTAGGTAAAGGAAAGTCAGGGTTATCTAGGATTCTTAAGGCTGATGTAGGATTAAACTTTACTTGTTAACTAGTTAATAGAGGGAGTATTTCTGTCATTGTAAAACAGAAACATTTTCTTCACCTTTTAAGAAACCTGCTTATTATGGGATGTGAAATCAGGTGAGTGAGTTTTGCCTTAGAGAAAATTGCAAGTGTTAGATTCTAGGTGTTACAAGAGCTCTTTATTTCAGTATCTGATCAGAACATTGATAATAACTTAATTATTTCAGTGAAAAGTAAACCCTATTTTTGTAAAGTGTATGAAAACTATAGAAGGTGTGCTGATTTTGTTTTTAGAATCTTATAGTAGTTTCTTAGAATGTCTTTTAGAGAGCGTTCTCTGGAAACCAGGTTTCTACATGACCACTTCAAGGTAATAGTTACTTTAAAGGTTTTTTGAGGGGGTTGGTCACCAGTATTCTATGTAATTATTGATATTTTCTTCAGTTACACTATGATTTATTTAAGCCTTTACTATGCTGGATCCTGAGAATACAAAATTTAGGTAAAGTATCTAGGTGGCTTTAAGGCTAGTAGGGGAGATGGACATTTTTTTAAGATATTTTTTTCACATACATGGTGCAAGAGAAGCATTTTCAAGATACAGAAATGAGAGTGGTTTGTCTGGGTGAGGATATTAATTGTAGAGTTTCGGGAAAACACAGAAGAGATACTGGCTTGTGCAGGATTTTAAAGGATCAGAATTGGTATGGAGGCTGGGGACAGTGAGGTAGGTGAGTGGTGGTGGTCTTTCCATGAAGAGCCTTGTGTACAATGTAAGTGTCTTAGCCTATACGGGAGTCAATGAGTGTTATTAAAGAGTTTGAAAGCAGAATATGGATGGTCACATTTGCCTGGTTTTGGAAGTTTATAGGATATTTTAGAGAAAGGGGAGATTGGAGACTTGGCATGTACAAGAGACCACACGTTTTCCTGAAGCCTATATTCATTCACTCATCAAGTTATTGACTACCTTCAGTGAGCCAGGTACTGTTATAGTTACTGAGTTTTATAGCAGTAAATAGAATAGAAGCCTTCAAGGAGTTTATATTCTGGTAAGGGGAGACAGGCAATAAAATATACTTATCTTTATTAGTAATAAGTGTTATAAAGAGAAATAAACCTGGATAGATGGGAATGGTGAGTGTGGGTCGTTGGGAAAGGCCACTCTGAATATGGTGACATAAGAGCAAGGATCTTGAGGGAGGGAGGGAGCCATGCAGATGCCAGGGAAGAAGAACAGTGTGTCCAAAAACTCCTGTTTGGCCTATTTTAGTAACAATGAGGAGGATTATTTGGTTGAAGATGAATTGGTGTGTGTGAAGGAGATGTGTGTGGTCAAGAATGGCATAGTAGGGGCAGGACAGATCAAGGTTAAGATAAGAATTTGAGATTTTACTCTTGCGTACAATGGAAGTCTTTACAGACCTTTGTGTCATACACTGTCTTGCCTATGAATATTAATGGATGTTAATTTTTCTTTAATGTAAAAACAAAAGGTTAGTGATTTAGGTTGACACATGCCACCTCTCTGATCACTTTAGAGCAGTTAATGTAAAAAGTAGAACTTGGAAAAGATCATTTATATCTGACAAGACTAGAATTTTAGAAATTATTAAGAATTTGTAGCAAGTCCTTTCCCTCTTTTGACTTCCCTCATTGCTTTCACCTGCCTACTCACTGCATAAAAATTTGTGGTTATGATAGTTTTCTTATACATATCCAAAGGTCAGAAAGGAATTTGAACCTTTCCATTTGAAAATGTCTGTTACAGTATAAATGTGTGCTGTGTTCTTTCCTTTCTCTCCACTTTAGGGAACTGCTCGTAGAAAGAAGAAGGTGGTTCACAGAACAGCTACAGCAGATGATAAAAAACTTCAGTTCTCCTTAAAGAAGTTAGGGGTAAACAATATCTCTGGTATTGAAGAGGTAAGCGTCAAGTTTTATTTCTTTAGAAAAACAAGATTTGTCTGAAAAAAGCTTTTAATGTTCATACATTTGGTGGGCACTGCTAATTAAAAATATTTTTTTTCCTTTATAGGTAAATATGTTTACAAACCAAGGAACAGTGATCCACTTCAACAACCCTAAAGTTCAGGCATCTCTGGCAGCGAACACTTTCACCATTACAGGCCATGCTGAGACCAAGCAGCTGACAGAAATGCTACCCAGCATCTTAAACCAGCTTGGTGCAGACAGTCTGACTAGTTTAAGGAGACTGGCTGAAGCTCTGCCCAAACAATGTGAGTTTTGCACAGGTTATTGATTTAGCCAATAGATTTCTAAAATGTCAGGTGCAAAGTGGATGTGAATATCTTTAAATTTGGAAATGCTACCTTTTCTCTTAAAATATCCATTTTTACACAGATTTTAAGCAGGTATTTATAGTGTATGCAATGATTTAGTATGCTGTGATTTATTATACTTGTTTCCTACTAGCTTTCTTGCATTGGATAAGAGACTTTAAAATGTTATCCTTTATTAGCTGGAAAGTATGAAAATGTTAATTTGGTGCTTTTTGATAACTGGCACTTTAAAATTAATTAAATATATATTGTAAATTATCAGAATTCTTCAGTTGTGTCTATACAACTGATATTACCAATAATCTTTAAGAACTGGCTTGCCACTATCCTGATGTTTTTAATTATAGTATGATAAGGATTTTGTTCAGGGGCAGAAAATCATGAAGTTGAGTAATTGTACCTCAGGGGTATGGATACTTTATGCTGAAGCTCTCTGACTAAAATTTTGAAGAATGGGAATGGAGAAGCAAGTCAGGCTTATTATATGGTCTTTTAATTAGTCATCCATGTTTTTCTAGGCATTCACTCACTCTGCTTCACTTTATATGTTGTTTTGTCACCTGGAAAGGCATAAGAGGTTTTCTTTTGTGTGTGTGTTTTTTTTTAATTGATTTGAGAGAGAAATGAAGAGGGAGAGAAACATCAGTGATGAGTGAGAATCATCAATTGGCTGCCTCCTGCATGCCCCCTACTGGGGATCGAGCCCACAACCCGGGCATGTGCCCTTTACCAGAATTGAACCCGGGACCCTTCAGTCTGCAGGCCAACGCTCTAATTACTGAGCAGACCGAGGACAAGGCATAAGAGTTTGTAGAAAGTCATCTTAGGCTTTCAAAGCTGAAATAGGCATTTGAAGCAGTCCACTGAACATCATGGGCCCAGTACTGTGAGGTCCCTACTCTCAAGTGTAGTTCACTTTCTGTGTAATAAAAGGAAGCTGGATGCTTACCACTCAATCTTAAATTTTTTTGATCATTTTATTTTCATTTCAGTAAAGGTTTGTGAGCATCTCCCTTATGCCATGCACAACACAACAAAGTATTTGAGAAAACAGCCTCTTAATTTGCCTCCCCAAGTAAAGCTTACCATAATTTGGTACGTGGGTTTACTTGTACCCTGGGGGCTCCCCATTATTCTCATTCTCAATGTTTGTGGTGGGCCAGAGGATTGAAAACCTAGGTATAGAATTTGGTTTGTTGGCTGTTGCTAGTGTTCTAGCTCATTTGTAGACTATTACGTTATTGCTAGTACTATAGATGAGATCCCAAATGTCACATCATGAATATAAACCTTTCATCTGTACTTCTTTTGGTTAATACTTATTGAAGACAAACACATGTGTGAGTAATGTTTACATTTCCCTTTCACAGCTGTGGATGGAAAAGCGCCACTTGCTACTGGAGAGGATGATGATGATGAAGTTCCAGGTAGGCATCTTCACTTGTGGTTAAACTGGGGAATCTCAGCAAAGGAGGATAAAGAATCTTTATTCTATAGGGAAGACTACCTGAGGGAGGTGGTACAGAGTAAAGCAGGGAAGGGAGACTTGAACCTCACTCAGAATGAGAAAAGTGGTGTGCTGATATTTCACTGGGAGTCGTGTTTGTAGGTTTGGTTTTTTTCTATTTGGGATCCCAAGAAGTTGGAGGTATATAACCATAAGTATTGAATAAAAAGTTTACATATTGTTACCTAAATGTAATGACTACTTACAGACCACAAATGACTCTTGTTTCCTACTGTGAGATCCATAAATTTAAAAGAAGGCATGGAGAAGTTATTCAGATATCTTGGGATATAACCATTTTAAAATCGGCAGAAAAGCTCCTTTGGCAATCTTGAGGCATTTTTCTATTTCAGCTGTTACTGGATATATTTTTGTGTGGTAAAACAAATATTTATTGGGGAGTAGAATCACTAGACCATAAATAATTCCACTTTGCACGGACAGGTGTCCTCAGGAATCCAGGAAAACTTTAGAATTGTGTGTCACAGTACTCTTTAGTTCTCCCAAACTGACTAATGTGTTGTATTGCTTAAGTTTAATTCTTGGAGTGCGATGAGAATAGGGAGAGTATATACCTATTCTTTAAGCACAGCCATGGGCAAATTAATGACTTTCCCTTGTTTTAATTATATGCCAAAACATATACTTCAAAATGTGCCAAATGAGTAGTGGTCTTATTGAAAATAAAAACTTTTAAATTTATATACTGATTTAACTAATATGTATTTTGAGAACATTTCCTTATTTCCTCTTAAGATCTGTATTTGTAGATTTGGCTTTTTCTGAGTTTCTGCCTTTTTTTATTTTTTTAATTTTGATGAGGCTTCCAAGAATGAAGCAAACTGAATTGAGTCAACTTCTGAAGAAGATAAACTTGAAGAAGTTTCTGGGAGCTGCTATTTTGTATTATGACTGCTTTTTCAAATTTTGTTTATGGATCTGATAAAATCTAGATCTCTAATATTTTTTAGCCCAATGCCCCTGGACATTGCAGCTCTTTTCAGTTTTTGCTTATACATAAATCATTCTTTGCAGCTAATTAAGCTGAAGAAGCTTGGGAATAAAGTTTGAAACAGGTTAATAAAGATCTTTGCCTAGTATAGTTTTATTTTTTATTTCATTGACACTGATTTGTACACAGAAAGCAAAGTTGTTTGTAGAAAGCTAATCATGGCATGTAATATGACATAATCTTTGATGAAATTTTATTAAAGATTTAACATGGTAGAATCATGTAACAAAGGTGGTATAAAGTTTCATGTTTGAAAACTTCCCTGCAGTAGCCCTCAGGGCTTCCATGGTTTATATGATGGGTATAATTGTAAGATGGGAATAGAATACTCCTTCGTGGTAGAGCAAGTTTTTTTTCTCTTAGTGTTGTGTATATACTGAGTGCCTTATATGTACTTTTCTTTAAAAATTTTTATTGATTTCAGAGAGAGAGAAACATCAATGATGAGACTCATTGATCGGCTGCCTCCTGCACGCCCCCTGTTGGGGACCAAGCCAGCAACCTGGGCATGTGCCCTTGACCGGAATTGAACCCAGGACCCTTCAGTCCACAGGCTGATGCTCTATCCACTGAGCTAAAACAGCTAGGGCCTTATATGTACTTTCACACTTAACTTTCTCTCATTTAATTCTCATTCTATGAAGTTGCTCCATTTGGTAGATGTAACCAAAAGTTACTTTAAAAAAGTGAAAGTAGTTAATCCCTTCTGTGTAGGCTATAAGATAACTGGAAAAAAGGTAATAGGAATGTCACCCTTTTTCCTTAAGTGAGAACACAAAATGAGTAGGGCTACTTTTTTCTTTTTTAAATTAACATACTGTAAAATTGACCTGTGTATGCAGTTGTAACGTGTAATTGCCACCATAACTAGAGTACTGAACAATTTCACACTAGAAAGGCCCCTCGATAATAGAGCTACTTTTAAAAATTTGTATTAGTAATTATAATGTTGAAGCAATTTAACAGTTTTACAAATGGTAATTAAAACAATTACATTCTGCATTGATGCCAACTGAAAATTATCTTAGTTTCTACTTCAACAATAAGAATTCATTTTAAATTTTCATAGCTTACAAGTACCTTTTGAAGGTACTGTATAGCTATATCTAAAATTATTAACTATCAAAAATGAAATGTGTAGACAGTATTTGCATATCTTAACATTGTATTATTTTCTTTAAAGTATGCATATCACTTAAAGTACACTGCTACAGTAACAAGAATTCCAAAGTCTCAATGATTTACAAAATTACATGTTTCCAGAGTATTATAGGTTAGGTTGGACTCTGCTATATTGCTATATGTTCACTTCAGGTCCCAGACAAATGGGGCAACCTCTGGGGCACTCAGCTTTCTGGCAGAGTGAAAAGGTTGTAGGTCATGTGCTGGTTCTTTTTTTAAATATATTTTTATTGATTTCAGAGAGGAAGGGACAGAGAGAAGCATCAATAAAGAGATTGATTCATCAGCTGCCTCCTGTACAACCCACCCTTAACCGGACTCAAATCCGGGACCCTTCAGTCCACAGGCTGACGCTCTATCCACTGAGCCAAACCAGCAAGGGCCATGTGCTGGTTCTTAAAACTGCTACAAGTGTCAAAGATATATAACTGACCAAAGCATATGCAGTGGGTAAAGGAGGACAGGATTGGGATGGTCTGGAGTGGGGCCTGAAGATTTGCATTTCTGATAAGCTTCCAGGCGATGCTGATGCTGTAGGCCCACTGGCCATGCTTTGAGTAGCACAACTGAGATTGTCTTAACTCATCCCCAGAGATTGGGGTGACTGATAGGCTGACAAGCATGTGAAGAGTGCCACTATCTGAATATCCAGTTGTTTACCCCGAATCTATAGGCAAGGGACAAAATTAAAAAGTGCACTAGGTTTCCAGGCTAGGCCTATTCCAGGGCAACTTGCTTCCTGTGGCAGATGCAGGCTAAGGTTAATCCTGTTTTGCCTGTATTCAGACTTTGTTCCAATAACCTCTAACGATGTTATTGCTTTGGTCTATTTAAATAATCTGGTATATGTTAGTCGTGGCTATGGATTAACAAAGGGTTTTCTTGTAACGTTTTCAATATTGAGATAGGGTTATGTTAGGGTTACAAATGACTAAAAATTTTAGTTGTTACAAAGGTTTGTCACACTTAATGGTTTGTCTGGCTGGGCTCCACTCTCCCCTACACCCCCCACCCCCCAGGAGGAGCCTCTAACTTGAATGTTGGCAGTATCAGGACAAGGAAAAGAAATAGCTGGCTCTTCAAACTTAGGTTGGGAAGAGATGCACATCACTAGTAACCACATTTCATCAGCCAGAGCAAGTCATGTACATAGTCAAGTCAGATGGCCAAAAGGATTGGGGAAGTATAATCCCTCCCCAGAGCAGGACAGCAGTTGTTTCTTAACAGCACAATCTACCGCATTCTTTCTTCAAAAATTGATTTGAGAAACATCTATTTATTCCACTTATTTATGCATTCCTTGGTTGATTCTTGTATGTGTCCTGACGGGATTGAACCTGCAACCTTGGTGTATCAGGCTGGCGCTCTAACCAACTGAGCTACCCAGTCAAGCCAATCTACCATATTCTTAACAATTTTTCTTTGCCCACAATTGCTATAACTGTTATATGTTAAACACTGTATCACTTGTGTTATATCTCATTGCTCAGCATAACAATCCCTGGAAAAGAGCCACCTTGTACAGACAAGGAAACCATCTTCAAGAGGTGAAATTGCTCCTGTGAGGTCACACAGCCCCTTAAGTGGTAGAATGAGATTTAAACCTGGGTCTGCTCTTAACCTCAGGACCTATTGGAAAGGACTTCAGGCCCTGGCAGGCTAGAGAAGCAGATGATTCTGATCTGGGTGAACTTTGGCTGTTGTGACTACTTGCTGGCTGTTGTCCGATATTAAGACTAACCCTGGGCCAAAGTAGCTTTCAGATGGATCTGAACCAGGGATACACTAATAAAGAAATAGACAATTTTTCTGAGAACTCAGGATTTATACCCTTTATTTTTTGAAATAATCGAACTAGAGTACACTTGTGACAGCTGCATAATAACCATGTGTGCACAAGGCAGAAAGCTACATTCTAAATTTTGGAAACAAGTTTAGAAATGGGCTCAAGGTCACTAATGTTTGGACATGATTTCTGCTAATTATTTTTCTCCATTACATAACACTGGATTCTTTGGTAAATTACTTCCTCTCCCCCCAAAAAATAAATGTCAATTTTTTTTGGGGGGGGGGGGGGGAGTCTTAAGGGAACTAATAGCAGTTTTTAGCTTTTCCAAGATAATAATTAGAAAAGTCTTCTATTCACATAAATTTTCATCACTCCAATCAGCACAGTCTTGAATGCCATTTTTGCAGTGAGTTCTGGGAATGCAGGCACAGTCAGCAAAGAAAACAGTATCACATCTCCAGCCTAAACACTTTGGCACTGAACACTAGACAATTTTATTTATTTTTAAAAGCACAACTGTTAAAACATCAAGGTGGACTGGAAAATAGGCTATTAGAAATGAAATGGCCCTTTGGATCTTAACAATATTAGAGAAAACTGTCCAAAGGGGAAATTGAGGATGTTTATTAAAGATTCTACACATTTAGGTGAAAGAATTTGTACTTTGAAAGCAAAGAAGAGTACTACCTCTCCATTGGCCTGCAAATAAACACACTGACATGCTACATAAACAAGGAGGGATCCATGTGAGTTTGCATGTTCAGTAAGCCAGGAAGAGAATCAGTATTTGCTAATTGGCAACCAGCAAGAAGAAAAGAATCTGTTTATACTTTTAGCTTTTTGTTGCCAACACATTGTTAGGTTAACATGCAACTCCTCAGCAGCATTTCTTTTTCTGCCTTCCATGGTGACCAGGCAAAAGGCAAGATACGATCTCTATAGTGTACTATATTCTGATACCTTTTTTATACACTGATTAAGGTCATGAGGTATTGGAACTACCATGGTTTTAATAACCCAGCCTTGCCAGATTGCAAGGCAATCAGGGGTGCAGTGTCACGTGAAACCACCATCGAGAACACTGGGAAGCGGAAAGGAGAGTGGGAGATGCAAGGAAGTACCAAAGGTTAAATA